TCTCGAGAGATACATGAATGGCAAACACATGAAAGTTGCTCAACCTCATCAGGGCTGTGCAAACGCAAACCAGAGACACGTTCCCTCTCCCCGAGTGAGGAGGCTAACGCCTCACTAGTGTCGGGGAGGGCGCCAAGAAAGGAGAGCCTTCATCTATCACTGGCAAGAATGGAGACTGCAGCAGCTGCCTTGGAAAATAGTTGGGCAGCTCCCCAAAAAGCTAAACACACAGCTCTCATAAGACCCAACAACCCTGCTCCTCGGAACGTGTCCAGGAGAAAGGAGGCCAGTGTCCACACAGACACCCACACACGAATGCTGGCAGCTGCAACATCTGTGGTGACCGAAGGGGTGGGGGATGACCCAAATGTCCACCACGTGGTGAGTGAGCAACGTGCGGGTTGCCTATCCCTACATTGGAACAGTATTGGCTCACTAAAAGGAATGAAGTCCTGCCAACAAGCTACCACAGGATTCACTTGGGGACCACTGTGCTAACTGAGAGTAGCTGTCACAGAAGGCTGCATGGCTGCACACATTTGAGGAGAAGCAACGTTGTGGACCCAGGGATCAGTAACTGCTAAGAGCTGGGGATGGGGGTTCTGAGGGGCACAGTAGACAGCGGCCAGTGGCTACAAGGTTCCCAGGGGGATGAGAATGCTCTAAGTGGGTGGCGGTGACTGCACGATGATGAACAGACTAAACCCTGCCGGACTGCACACCACACGGGTGTATCACGTGGTAGCACTGTATCTCAATCGTTGTTGAAGGAAAAAAGAATGTCGTCTGGTCCCTTTTCCAACAATTAAACGATGTGGGTAATGAGTGTCGATGTGCAAATGGGAGCAGTGTGGTTCTACCTTCCCACCTCTAGCTACAGGGATCTATAAAAGGCCCAAGGGAGAAACATCTGGAAAGTCAGCCTCATAACTCGAGGATATCTGTGTACTGGTTAACTTGCTGCACGACAAACTGCCCCGAAAGGTAGCAGCTTAAAAACTAAGAAATTAATTATTACACTCGGATCTGAAGGGGCAGGCACCAGCCAGGGACTGAGCTGGCAGGGCTGCCCTGGGCCTCCGGGGCAGGGGGGGACCACAGTGACCAGGACTTGCCAGAGCAGGAAGGTCCACTGCCTCGCTCGCTCCCATGGCTGTTGGCCAGGGGATTCTGCTCCTCCTCTGAGAGGCCCCCTCCTTCAGTCTGCTCGTGATGGGGCTGCCCCAGCAGCTCGTGATGAGAGAAGGGTTCCAAGACAGAAGGTCGGCCTCCTGTAAGCCCATCTCGGAAGAACTCATCCTGCTGTATCCCACTGTATCAGTGCGCCACCAGGGAGGCCCCCCAGTCCTTTCACTCAGGTTCCAAGGCAGTAAATAGCTTTCCAGCTATGCAGAGCAAAGCCACAGTATCCTGCCCGGTGCGGTGGGGGCCTTAGGGCTGCCTGCTGGTCCTGCAGGGCGGCCGTAGGGTGAATAAACACTCACTGCATAGCAGTGCTTCCAAGGTGCTGGGTGGAAGAGAAAGCAGAATCATAACTGCACTTGGCAAATCAGGCAATGGTTGGAACAAAGAAATTAAGGATTGTATTATTCTAAGTGCAAAAAGAAATTAATGTGGCCCTTCAAAGTCTACTGGAGAGTCGAGACTTAATGTAATCTCCCGAAGACTTCCTCTCAGAATCATACCACAGCGAAACAGCTGTAGCCAGGAGCAGGCACACTGGATCCCTTTCAAGAACATCAAAAGTAGTTTGAAGCGAGTTAAAAGTGAGAGGTGAGCCTGGGAAGCCTTTCTTTCCCGTTTGGGTGAAAATGAGAAACCCACTCTGCCGTCCTACAAAGCAGGCATCTCTTTCCTTTACACTGGATTTCACAGCTTCGGGAAAGGTTCATCATAAGAAAGAACGGATCTTGCCGGCTGCTAGCAATCCTCGTGCATTAAGTTTTGACTTATGTGCCCTGAATCACCCAGGAGCGTCGCAGTGGAAACCTCTGGACATTCAAAGGCAGGGTCCACACCACACAGCAGGCCTCGCGTAGGGCCAAGCACCGGCTGGCCAGGCCACTGATGAACAGCACGTCATCTGCTCTAAGACACTGTGCACAGAGCCTTGTGGTTCTGAAAAGATATATGGATGTGTAACAACTCCACTCAAACTCGAATTTCTATTGAAAAGGCTTATTCTGTCAGAGGACTGCAGGTAAGTACAGGGGGTATAAAACTGCCCAAGAAAATCCAGTGACTTCTAAACAGACTGTCCCTTTACAGTACATCAAACTGTTGGCACAAGTTCTTAGGGTCTCAGCACGAGGATGGTCTTGGGAGGTCCCATGGCTTCCAGTTTCCATATCCAAGTGACCATAGGCAGAAGCAATTTTTTTTATGAGAAAGTAGGTTTGACACAGTCCTCAGTAAATGACTGGGAGCCCACATGCTCTCCTTGCCTGGAAAGCGTGGTAGGTGATTATTCACCTTAGACTTGTGGTGATGGTAAGGCTTAGGCAGAGGGAAAAAAAACAGCACAATGAAGAATTTGTAGACCGCAGTAAGGAAGGTGGTGGTAGCGTGTGTATTTCTCGGGTGTGTGTCTGTGGGAGTGTCTGAGTGTGTGTCTGTGAGTTTGCCTGTGAGTGTGTGTATGTGCGTGTGTGTAGCCAAGCACAGCAGGACTGACTGAGGAAGGAGACATCAGTCAGCTTTCCTAGTCCCTCCGACGCCTTGTGACTGGGCTCCCTCACCCACATCCTATTCCAAACCAGTACTTCTGGGTGTATCTTGAGTCACAGATTAGACACCTAAGAGTCTGACAGAGTTTCTTCATCTCAAGTGGACAAGCAAAGCAGGTCAGCCCCCACATCTCTGCCCTTACTTCCCAGAGTGATTCTGGGCATACATCAAACTTCTGCCTGGGGACGCCGTAAGAGCAGTCTGAGTTTACAAAGGGTACAACAAAAAGGTTATGGGCTGACCTTGCTGCAGGCCAGACTGAGAAATACGCCAAGCAAATTTAATGCTTGAGTCTAGCTGCTGTCCAAGGCTGTGTCTTCCTTCTGTCTTATTTGCCATCTGCTCTACCAGGATAAGGCAGACTTCTACTTCTGCTGTTACCTGCTGAAACTACTAGTAGTGTGCTAAAGACTGGGTTAAGAGTTTAACCCGAGGCCCTTACTCTTCCTTAGAACATTATGACACAGGCTTTGTTACTGCCTCTGGCTTACAAAATTCCCAAGATCACACAGCTTACTTGGAGGTAGTACCAGGATTTGACCCTGGCTCCAGCGTCCATGCTCTTAGACACCTGATTGTATGTGTTCTTTTTTCTCACCTAATGCAAAGAAAATTCCACTGAGACCAGGATCTTGGTTTCTAGTCCCATCTCAAACATTAGACTCAACTGTCGTTCTCAACACCACTGTCCTTATATAATGAGCCAGGCTCAAACAGCTACTTCTAGTTATGCTCTGATAGTGAAGCAGGTCTTGTCAGGAACACACTTGACTTTGCTAGATGAGTGAGGAGGCTCAAGCTTGCAAATGAAATATACTGAAGGGACGGAAAGGGGCAACTAGCGGTAACCAAGTCAGTGTGAGCACTTTCCCTCATTTCATCATTCTATGAGGCTATGACAGGAGCATCAGATTCAAGAGGCATAGAGGGAGGCGCGGAGACTCAGAGATGAGGCGCTCTACCCGCGGTCACACAGAGAGCCAGGTGGAGAGCTACAGGTGTGTGCAGAGGGGCCTGAGCCCTTCTGCCTCGCCGCACGCTCTGCTGCTGTTGCTCTTCTCCGCTACAGCATGCAGAGATCTAATGACACATGTCACATGCACTGTGCCATACTGCAGGGACGTGCACATGGAAAGTTAACGTGGAGGTGAGCCTTGAAACGACAGGTGAGTCCAACTGAAAAGTGCGAGCAGCATGCAACTTAACCCCAAAGTGGGTACATTTTCGTATGACCTCTATGAGTTGGGCTAATCACCAACCAAGGCAAGCCAACTTCCGACGGGACGTTTGTATGACTTGGGTTTATCCTTAAGTAAATCACAGAGAAATACCCTGAGAATGCTAAGATACATGGTTATACCCAGACCACAGGCATGGGCTGTGGTGGCATTCTGCTGCATGAAATGACTTTCTCACAATATCTCAGAATATTCTGTACAAAATGATTCTTCTTCTGTCCCCAGACAGGACTCCAGAAATGCCGGTGAGCAAGGAAGTCTCTCATGTACATGTACCAGCCACTTAAAAGACGGCTGGAAACCAGAAACTCCTGTGCTAACTACTAAACTCCTATTTCAGAGAAGTAGGTAATGAGAAACCATTCTACGAAGCAAGTACAGGAAAGTGAAGGAATTGCAAAGGACACCAATTTATGCAAGAGAGCTGCATTCTGGAAAATCCAGTGTTCATTAAAGCTGTATAAAAGTATACAGTTAAGTGAATAAGGCAGAAGGAGAAAGACCAGATGGTGTCACTTGCAAATGGAATATAAAGAAAGCAAACAAGGGTCAGAAAAAGTCAAACTTAAAAACTAGCCCTTGAAAGCTGACGATAGGACTGAGGGATCCAGAGTGGGAGGGGCTGGGAGAGCACAGTGGACTGTGGTGGAGACTCGGGGTGCTTAGGTTTTGGGAACACTGCAGCAGCCACATCTGAAGGGGGATCCTATATTTCCAAAATACTAACAATGATGTTAACCCACAGTATCTCAATAAAAAAATATGAACAAACAGAGATATTATTAAAAGCAGATAAAAATATATTTACCCTGTGCTGGAGCACAGGCATAGACAAAGATTTTTTTTCCTTCACAAGTATGTCAGACACAGAACCTGCACAGGCAATGCAGGAACCCTGAAATTCTGGGCACCACATGATGTCTGGCATCGCTGCCAACCACCCACGAAATCACTGAGATGCAGGTCAAACAGTGAACCCCACACAGTAAGTAAACGGAGAACACCCCAAAGGTGTGACCACGGCTCTTCACTTACTTGGTACTGGGCCGCTTCTGCAGGGCTTTGTCCAGGATAAGCGACGGGGCACTTCTACGCCTCTCTGCCAGTGTTTTCATTTTCTGTTGAGGAAAACAAATTCAAAGTGAAGACCACGTGGCTCAAGAGCAAGCAAACGACAAGCTTCTGCCCAGGGTGGTAAGTTTCTAATTGCCCCTGCTTTCCCATTAAGGAGTTTACAATCTCACTATGGAAATAAGGCGTAAGTGCCAAAAAGGGTTTTTTTTTTTTTTTTTTTTTTTTTTTTTTGTCAGAGAGTGAGGAGATTACATGGGTTTGGGAGAAACAGCTTGACAACCAGAATCATCAACTGCAGCCCACAGGTATATTGTTTGTTATGGACTCGGCCCTATGCCACTGGGAGGACAGGATTATCTCATTTATCATCCAAAATACCACAGAGAAGCTTCTGCTCTGTCTCACAGGCCTCAAACTGAGCCGCAAGGAAGAGTCTTTGAAGAAATCATATAGAGAAACAGGGAAACAAAATTCTCAAACATTTCATACATGTTTACATTGAAATATTTATGCATGTGGGAATCCCTTCTTGTAAACGGATTTTCTTCTTTTGCTGTAATTATATATATATATATATATATATATATATTTCTTTTCTAAGGGATGATTCAGGTATCCTGCTTCAGAGGACTTAAAATTTATTTAGGCAAGTGGGGTTTAATTCAAAGAGAATTATCTAGGAAACCACTCCCTAAATTCAGTATTACATATTTAACACCTCTACAGCTAGTCAGAGGGCTTGCCCCTGGTGATGAATGAGTAAAAGTAATGATCCAGAACAAGCAACTGCAGAGACATACATGTAGGCAATAGTAGCAAAGGCATTTTCCCTACTCCCCCCTCACCCTCTCCTGGACAGAAGGTCTCACCAGCCCAGGCCAGTTGGATATGGGAACTAGATGATGCTTTAACAGGAGACACATAAAATGAACTGGGGCTCAGGGGCCTCCCTGGTGGCGCAGTGGGTTAAAGCACAGCACTAAGAAGCTAAAGCCACTTCTTTATGGGTTCCATCCCTGCCTGCCCCGGAGGGGACCACATGGTGTGGCAGACCTCTCCTGACCTGCCCGCTGCTCCCCTCAGCAGTGTGCTTCTCAGTCAACCTGTTCTGCTCCCCACTCTGTCTCTGGTGAATCCTATCACCCTCCACATCTCTGGCCTGTACCCCCCAGTTCTATATGAATAAATAAATCTTTAAAAGAAAAAATGAACTGGGGCTCAGTATCAAGTGTCTCACTGAATGATTCATAAAGGAGCTGCCTTTTGGTTAGTAAAATAATGCTTAGCTCTTAGCACAGGAAAAGAAAGAAGAGGAGGATGTGTGTGGCATCATTCTTAGCCCACCTCAACCTTCTGGGGGGGGGGGTCTCTCCCAAATTATTGCCCATGGTCTCAGTGTTGCTGTCCCTCCCATTAATATTTTGGTTCACATGTGGAAACCCCATGCCTAGTATCCTTAGCACAGCTAAACAGGAACAGGAGCAATTACATAAAGCATTAAATAGGTAACGGAGCAAGTGGGTAAGAAATTGCAGACACCCTAGGTCTCCATCAGGAGTTCCTAGCTGTAAACCATTTTCTGGGCAAGTTAAAAGTATAATCATTTTTTCCCTATGATACATGTTTCTCTTCTTTCTGAAGAGAAAGCTCCTAGCTTCCATCAGATTCCAGAAGTATAGTTCTTCCTAATCCCAGGATTTCCACTATTCACTTCCATCCCAGGGGCCTGCAGTGGATCTCAGGCCAACATTACCCACAGGGCCCAACTACCCAACACCGCGAGATGGAATTTGGGAGCCCTGTTGCTACGGCTGCTCGGGCTGTTTTCACGTGAAGAGACTCAGACTGGATTGATTTTATGAACAAAGGTGGTGGTCTGTTCATATGCAATTTGCTTTGTTTTAGAATTGTCTCATCTTCAGCTCTGGACTTGATTCCCACTCCTTATCTTGATGCCAGTGCCATTTATTAAGTGTCTAATTCTTCTACTTTGAACTTGCAGACATGCTCTATCCTTTGCAGCCTTACTCTGGGCCCTATCTCCTTTGACCAGAGGATCTGTGCTGCCTCCTCACCTATCTCAGCAGCCTTCCTTCTGCTGCCCCTAGCCCTCTGACATCACCATCCACAGGCCCAAATCCTAAACTAGTCTTCTCTCTAGTAATATGGCTCCCAATTTTGAGATCCTTAGCTTTCAGGTTTATGAAGAATTTGAAAAGTGTTCAAATGACTGACAGAGGTGCGGGGTTCACAGCAGGGAAGTGCTAGTGACCCCCCATACCCTGCCATCTCTCAGAAAACCCAGACAGCTGTCCACCAGGACTGGTGAGTCTCTGGATTCATACCAGGGAAGTAAAGAAGTGGCCCTACATTTCATGACCTCTCAGGAGACACTTGCCAGGTACTTGCTGGAACCACTGGAGCCCCAGTTCATAGCAAGAATGTACCACAGTAGCCCCAGGAGTTCTGACCTTCCAGGTGTCCCTGAGAGCCACCCACTGGATCAGTGAGGTCCCATATTTGTGCCAGTACCCTGGGAACACCCACTAACATCTTGGGAACCAGTGGAGGCTATAGTAAGTCTGGCCTCACCAGGCACCACCTGACAGCATCAGTGCCCCCCAGCCAGCCTCTGGTTAGAGCCCCACCTCAGTGTAGCAGGGGTGGAGGCATGCCTAACAGAGGTCAAAACCACAACAATGAGGTCCTAAAAGGAATGGGGAGACACACTAACACAATGAATGGCCAAAGCAGTCCTAATGCTCTACAAAAGAACAAATCTCCAGAACCCAATTACAAATACATTGAAGGCATATTTCTCCTATCAGACACAGAACTGAAGCATGACCCCATAAAGAAATGAGAAAACAAAAAATAATCATATTGAGGATATATAGGAAAACGCAGAAAACTCATGAATGTCCTGAGAAATTCAATAAACAAAGACTGATAATGATACTCTAAAGGAAGAAAGATTAAGAGATGAGAAGGAAAAAAAGAAAACAACTACAGAAGTAGGAATAAACCAAACAGAAGAGTGAATCAGTGAACTTGAAGATACAAATCCACAAAGTAACATGCAAGAAAAAAAAGAGGAATGAGTAAAAAGAAAAAAAAAAAAGCCACCAACCATCTGACACCATGAGGAAAGACAATATAAAAATGATGAGTACCCTGGAAGAGGAAGGGCTACAGAAAGGGACAGAAATTCATTTTTAAAGAGTTAGATAACCTCCCAAAGTTATCTCCTAGAAAAGGAAGTAAAAAAATACAGGAAGCCAAAAGAACATTGGAGCACCTAAAAAATGAGAGCAACACAAAGATGTACAGTGGTGAAACTTCTAAGCATTCAAAACAAAGAAAAAATACTGAAGTTGATGTGGGGGAAGGAGCAGTTAACACATAAAGGAACTCACATCACACTGACATCAGACTTCTCAGGCAAAAAACGTTGTGGACAAAGGGAGAATGTAAAGGCAGATCAAAAAAATGTAAAGATCAAAAGCTGTCAACCAAAAATACAATTTCCTATAAGGCTCTTCTTTAGATATAAAAAAAGTCTTTTCAGACAAAGAAAAGCAAAAGGAACTTGCAAAATGGATACCAATCCCCCAAGAAATACTGGCAAGAACTCTAATATCAAAGCCAAACACCAAAAAGAACTAAAAACAAAATACACTCACAAAATTAAAGACAAGATATAGCAACAAACTCATATATCAATAATTACACTAAATATTAATGGACTAAATTTACCAATTAAAAAGAGTCACTGGTAGGATGAGAAAACAGACTCCAATATTCCACTGTCTCCAGGAGACATACTTAAGCCCCAAAGATAAACACAGGCTCAAGGTAAAGAGTTAGAAAGTCACTCTACAAATAAATGGGATGTAAAGAAAGACAGGGACAATCATATCAAACAAAAGAGATTTCGGTTAAAAGAGGTAACAGACAGGGAGGGATGGACCACTACATAGTGATTAAGGGAACAATGTACCAGGGAACGTAACACTCATCAACATATATTCACCAAATGAAGGACCATCAAAGTACTTTAGGCAACTACTATTAACTTAGAAAGCAAACACTGGAAAATGATGGACAAATCAATGACAAAAAAAAATGAATAGAGACATAATAGAATGAAACAAAGAATTAGATTATATGGACCGAATAGACAAGTATAGAACTCTATGTCTGCCTACCCCCACCCCCTCACAGTATAATTTTATCAAGTCCACATAGGACATTCTCCAATATATGTGGGCAGAAGAGCTAAATAGGCACTTCTCCAAAGATGAGACGCAGACAGTCAAGAGGCATACAACATCTCCTTACCTAAAAAATGAGAAACTGATGTACTGCAGAGACTCCTCTATTTCTGATAGTCCCATACATATTAAATACCTACCACAGAGTCACGCTGGGTATGCCAAAAAAAAAAAAAAAATCACACACCTTGTGTATTTAGGATTTACAGGATTCACTTTGCTCATAAATACTAAAAAATGTCTTAAGAATAGCCAATCTATATTATTGCCTTAATAATATAAACCTTAATATAAATAAGCCTTAATAAATGCATAAAGTTTTTTTTTTTTTAAATCAAAACTATCAGTAGCAAAATAAAAGGCTAGTGGTGACTTCCTCTGTACTTATCAAAGACCCTGTTCTTCGGCAATGAAACACTCCATTTTCTTGTTTATAACTACTGTGTGAAATAGATGGAAACGAGGGGGGACTGTTGATACCTTTATAAATGTGTAATAGCACAAACCTGGCAGGACAGGTTGCCGCTACACAGATACCAACACATTTCAGAGTTGTTCAGTGAAGAGGGAAAACTAAGATTCTTCACTTCGGAGGAGACAGGAGAGAGGCTTGAGACTGAGTATTTTCTTTGTTGGCTTAACTCCAGCCTCTCATCTCACAGTTAGATGTCCTCATAAACATCGAATGCTATTGTGAAACAGATATGTATTTTTCAAAAGGTAACTTTTAAAATAAATTCAGAAAGCACCCATTAGGCAAAACACCTGCCTTACATTCTGGGAATGTCTTTCCTGAACCCCTACCATTTACCCCCAAACTAAA